GCCTTCAGTATGGATTACACCTCAACATAAAGAAAACAAAAATCCTCACAACTGGACCAATAAGCAACATCATGACAAACGGAGAAAAGATTGAAGTTGTCAAGGATTTCATTTTACTTGGATCTACAATCAACACCTATGGAAGCAGCAGTTAAGAAATCAAAAGACACATTGCATTGGGCAAATCTGCTGCAGAAAACCTCTTTAAAGTGTTGAAAAGCAAAGACGTCACCTTAAAGACTAAGGTGTGCCTGACCCAAGCCATGGTGTTTTCAGTCGCCTCATATGCATGCGAAAGCTGGGCAATGAGTAACGAAGACCGATGAAGAATTGACACCTTTGAATTGTGTTGGCGAAGAATACTGAATATACCATGGACTGCCAAAAGAACAAACAAATCTGTCGTGGAAGAAGTACAACCAGAATGCTTCTTAGAAACAAGGATGGTGAAACTACATCTCACATATTTTGGACATGTTATCAGGAAGGATCAGTCCCTGGAGAAGGACGTCATGCTTGGTAAAGTAGAGGGCCAACAAAAAAGAGGAAGACCCTTGACAAGATGGATTGACACAGTGGCTGCAACAGTGGGCTCAAAGCATAACAATTGTGAGGATGGTGCAGAAGTGGGCAGTGTTCTGTTAGTTATGTAGGGTTGCTATGAGTCGGAACCAACTTGAAGGCACCTAACAACAACAACTAAGCACATTCTTTTCTGGTGTTATTGTTTGTTTATTTATTTATTTTATTGTTGTACTTTAAGTGAAAGTTTACAATTCAAGTTACTTGGTGTTATTATGTATTTTATGGGGCCTGTCTATTGCTTGGCTGGAAGATGGTTTCCAGGAATGGCTACAGTTCATGTCAGAGGGATTCTTAGGGCCATAGTCTCAGGGGTTCCTCTAGTCTCTGTCAGGCGAGTAAGTCTGGTCTTTTTTTCATGAATTTGATTTTTTGTTCTATATTTTTCTCCTGCTTTGTCCAGGACCCTCTGTTGTGATCCCAGTCAGAGTGGTTGGTAGTGATAGCCAAGCACCATCTAGTTCTTCTAGTCTCAAGGTCATGTAGGCTGTGATTCATGTAGTCTTTTAGTCCTTTGGACTAAATGCTCCCTTGAGTCTTTGGTTTTCTTCACTCTCCTTTACTCCGGATAGAAAGAGACCACTACTTGCAAGCAAATGTAATCAGCTTCTTCTTTTTTTTCCTAACAAGTTTTTGAACCACAAAAGTAGTAAAACGTTTATTAAAGAAAACTTGAAATTCAGAGAAGCACAAAGGAGAAAATAACTCTCCAGTAAACCAGTACTCTTATGACTCAGCAATATCCACTGGGTACATTTTAGTTCATCATCTTCCAGTCCTCTTCTCAGAGTATGTGTACATGATACACAGTGTCACATTTATATATATATATATATATATATATATATCACATCCACATTCGTATATGGTTAAATATGTGCTTATTATATAATGAAAATGAGATAATACTATTTATGCTATTGGTAGCTTTTTTTTCCATTTAATAATGTATCATGAATAGTTTTTTCTACAACATGATTTTTCATGACTGCATATGGAGTGCCACGATTTAGTTAACTAATCTACTATTGTTAGGCATTTAGGTCTTCTGTTTTTACTAGTATAAATAAAATGCTTTGATATCCATGTGTGTAATTAGAGCTATGTAAAAAGATTTATTTTCTTAGGCACCTTGAAATGGAATTGCTGAGTCAGAGTTACACACCAGTGTTTCTCAACCTCAGCAGTATTGACATTTTGGACCAGATAATTCCTTGTTGTTGTAGGGGATTTCTTATGCATTAGGATATTTGGTGGCATTCCTGCCCTCAACCTACTAGATGCCAGTAGCACCCTCCCAGTCATGACAATAAAAAATTTCTCCAGACATTGCCAAATGCCCAGTGGGAGGCATAATTGCCCGCTGTTGAGAACTACTGGATTACATCTTTTAATACTCCACTAGGATTATATGAAAATGTCTTAGTCCCTGTGCCCTCAGTAACACCAAATATTAACAATTTTAAATCTTTGCATACTAGAAAAGGGGATGAGATGAGGGCAGTCAGTATACCTAGCAGTGTATTGTGAACATATTCCCATGTATATTCTTCCATAATGTGACTTGTAATGTGACATTATCTGGCTGTATCAGACTCATAGTAAATGCCAATATATGTTAGTAATTTCCTAGATTTTAGATACTATTTTGAGTTAGTAGCAATTTTCAAACATCTTATGTTAAACACCCTTTTCTGAAAAATTACAAAATCCAAAATCTTTTAATTTTTAAAGGGGCATATTCTTAGCTTGAGAAAATGAGCGAGGAAGTTTGGGGATTTTTGTTCCAAATTCTTTGTCTTTTACCTGTTTTTCCACCATTTTACCAGCATTATGCTTTATTATTTTATTTTTACTAATGTAACAGGCTAAACACACATTTAAATTCTTATAATACAGAAGGTAATTGTACTCATTGTCTCAGGGTGGAGTAATATAGAATGACCTGGGAGTGGGAGTGTGGGGGATATTCTCTTTCCATGTATTTTCTCCTGCCTTATCAATAAAACTCTATCGAAGAGCCCCTTTTTTGTGTTACTTGATTCTCTCACCTCCTTGGAAACTTGTGCTTCTCTTTGTCAGCAGTGAGCCCAAAGAGATAGTTGAAAAGTCCAAAACCCCAAGCCGAAGAAACTCCCGAACTGAAGAGGCAACTGTGGCTTCTGAAAGTGTGGAAAATGGACATCGTAAACGATCCTCTCGGCCTGCTTCAGCCTCCAGCTCTACTAAAGGTTAGCAGTGGGGTGGGGTGGGTGAGGGTGCTGTTTGTGGGTCATTAAGAAGAATGAAGTCCTTACCTCAGCAGCATCTTAAACTTATGTTCCTTAAATTTGTCAAGTTACTTTGACTTCTATTGCTTGTTTGGTCCTTCCTTTATTTGTTAGTTTGTTTAACTATATGTTTTCCATGTGTGTACAGAGCAGCAGGCACTGTTAGAAAAGAGAATATAACAGAGCAGATTGATTCTACTTTAAATTCATGATCACCCACTTCAATTAGTTGTTCCTCAACACAGCCCAGCCATCTTTTATGTTCCTGTGGTCAGCTCTCCCCTACTCTGCTTTTAAAACTTCAGCCCCCACTTTCTCCTGTCCCTCTCAGCAAAACCCTCACCTCTTCATAGAGAAGATAGAACTGCCTCAACTTCCCTATGTTGTTAGCTGCCGTTGAGTCAATTCTGACTCATGGCAACACCAAGTGTGCAGAGTGGAACTGCTCCGTAGGGTTTTCTGTGACCTTTTGGAAGCATGTCACCAGGCTTGTCTTCCAAGGCACCTCTGGGTGGATTTGAAGTGCCAACCTTTCTGTATCCTCCTTTGCTCCTGTTATAATAAAGCAGATATCCCCCCTCAAGTTTAAGGCCAGTTCTTCCACCTGTGCCTTTGATCGCATCTTCTCCGACCTTCTCAAGAACCTTAAACTATCAGTTTTCTCTTCTCTGTTGACTATTATCTCCTTTTTGAACTACCTCCTCTGGCTTCTGTGACCCAAAAATCTTAGTACTTTTCTGTCTACCTCTCTAGCTGTTCCTTCTCAATCTCTCCACCTAGCCATTAGATGTTGGCTTCCCTCAAACTTTGATCCTGAGTCTTTTTTTTTTCCTTCAACTTACATTTTCTCCCTAAGTAATCTCATTCATGCCCCTCTTCTTCTTTCACAGATGACTCATAAATTTGTATTTCTAGTACAGACCTCTAAAGATCTTAGACAACTGCATGTAAAAGCCTTAACAGGTCCTCAAACTCAACATGTCTGCAACCAAATGTCTTAGTCATCTGATGCTGCTTATAACAGAAATAGCACAAGTGGATGGCTTTAACAAACAGAAATGTATTCTCTCACAGTTTAGGAGGCTAGAGTCCAAATTCAGGGTGCAGCCTCTAGGGAAAAGCTTTTTCTCTCTGTCGGTTCTGGAGGAAGGTCCTTGTCATTGATTTTCCCATGGTCTAGGAGCTTCTCAGCACAGGAACCCAGGGTCCAAAGGATGCACTCTGTTCCCAGCACTTCTTTCTTGGTGTTATGAGGTCCCTTTCCTGTCTGCTCGATTCTCTTTTTTATATCTCAAAAGAGGTTGACTCAAGATACAACCTAATCCTGTAGATTGAGTCCTGCCTTACTAACCAAACTGCCTCTAATCCTGCCTCATTAACATTGTAGAGGTTAGGATTTACAACACATAGGATAATCACATCAGATCACAAAATGGTGGACAACCACACAATATTGGGAATCATGGCCTAGCCAAGTTGACACCGACACACATTTTTGAGGGACACAATTCAATCCATAACACCAAACTGTGGTTTTTACCCCAAAGTCAGGTCTCTGCCATTGTTCCCCCATCTCAATGAGTGTCACCACTGTCCATCCATTAGGCAAGCTAGAAGTGCAGGATTCCTCCTTGACACCAGCTGTCTCCCTCACCCTCACCTCTAAGCCATCACAAAAAGCTGTGGATTTTATCTCAGGTGTCCTAAATTCATCTACTTTTTTTCATCCTCACTGCTACCCACTAGCTTAAAACCCTTCAATGATTTACCATTATAATTAGGGTTAAAGTCTAAAAGCCTCACCGTGGCCCACAAGGTCCTGTGTGGTCTGGCCCCTGTTAGCTTCTCCCAGCCTCATCTCATCTCCCTCAGTAACTTGTACATGCCATCCTCATCCCTGTCATCACAAGGCCTGTACACGTGTTGCAGCTATTATGAGGAGTGCTCTTCTAGCCGCTCTTCTCCTCATTAGCTTCCTACTCCTCCTATTTATCTTAGCTCAGTTGTCACTGCTATGAGGAATCATAGCATTGTGTTCTCCTTCATAACACCACGTTTGTAACTTTATGTCTGTTTGTCTAATAGGTAATTAATATGTATGCTCTGTTAGGGCAGGAACTCATGTCTGGTTTTGCTTACCATCTATCAAATATGTATTAAGTACTACATAGCAGGCCCGGAGGATATAATAGTGAAAAGACAGATACAGAATTTCTCTTCACCACATTGATTAGACTAGCAAGAAAGACAGACAAACTCTAATACAGTGCGTTAAATGTTAAATGCTGTGATAGCAAAATTACATAGTGCTGTAGGAGCATATAGCTGGGATGTCTTCCTCATCTGCCAGGTCAGAGAAGACTTTCCAGAGAAAGTGGTGTTTAAGCTGAGACCTGAAGAATGAGGAGGCATTAACCAAGCCATGAGGGTTGGATAGAATATTCTAGGCAAAAGGTACAGCATGTGCAAAGGCTCAGATCTGAGAGATGACGTGATATTTCATCCTCTCAGGAAATGTGCTGAGCTTCAGCAGCTCAGGTTGGGCAAGGGCTGGGGTCCTGGCTGAGTGCCTGATAGCAGCCTGACTACTGAGGAATGACCAAGTGTCATTGGAATGCTAGCCTAAAGATCAGGGCAACATTAGACACTGACGTGAGAACTCAGCTGTACTTGGCGGGTCATGTTTCTGGGCAGGAATGTCATGATGTCTTACAAGAGCCCCTGGGAGCAGGCCACAGTCTACGGGTCATACAGGTAAAAGAGAGGTGTAGAAAATAACTGTCACCCTACCTCAGCCTGCTGGAGAGTGAGGGGAGAAGTTGGAGGGCCTTCTTTACCTTCTGGGCATACTTTATGTATCACAGGTAGTGTTTTCATAAGTATCCCCACTTTAGATGCAGAAATGGAGCCAATAACTTTCTTCCTTCTCCCTGGAAGTCATCTACTAGGCTGCAGAAACCTGTTTAAAAGGAACACATCTCTTGGTATATTAAACTTAGAGCCCAAAAGAAGGGTTCCTGGAGTTCTCTGGAGAAATCTGCTTCCTTTCAGTTCTGTGTATTGTAGCCCCTTGCTTTCCAGAAGGATCAAGGTCTTCTAGGTTGTGGAACAAGAATCTTTAAACAAAGAGGGGGGTTGGCCTTTAGAAATGTCACCTACTGGATTTTTGGAACCCTGATCTGAGCTCAGAGCCTCAAGATACTATAGGTATCATTGACAGTGTACCAGAGAGAATTAATCTAGAGAGCAGCTGGGATAGTAAAGAAGAGATGCCCAAATTAGAGCCACTCTGCAGAGAACTGCCAGCCAAGAAAAGATGGAAAACTGGAACCTGTTTTAGGAGGAGGGTGGGGAATAGACCTATACACTTAAACTGGACATTGTCCCAAGGTAGTGCAGTCATGTTGGAATGTCTGCCCCGTGCATGCTGTGAGGCTTAGGAAAAGCCATAAAGACTCACAGGCTCTGTGATCTTGCAAGGGGTACTGAGTAATCCTCTCACTAGAGGATGGCAGAGCTCTGCCGAGATCCCAGGAATCACAGTCATATATAGACCTCCACACCACCCTCAAGCCTTCAGGCTATCATTCTCTAACTCTCCCAGGGCCAGTTACCTTTAAAATCAGAAATGAGTACTGTAGTTCTTTTGGTTTTAAGTGTCAGGGTTCGTGGATCCAAATTAAAGAATAAACATGCATATTATTTGGCCTGTGTGTTGAATCCAAACATGTGAAACAGAGTCGTAAAATAACTTTCTGTGATAGTATTTTAACCCATACCTAGGGTTCACCAGAAGGAGCCCTGGTTGCACAATGGTTAAAGCTCTCATCTGCTAACTGAAAGGTCAGCAGGTCGAGCCCACCAGCCACTCCATGGGAGAAAGATGTGGCAGTCTGCTTCCTTAAAGATTTACAGCCGTGGAAACCCTATAGGGCAGTTCTACTCTATACTGTATGGTCACTGTGAATCAGAATCAACTCAACCGGAATGAGTTTGGTTTGATTTTTTAGGATTCACAAAATATCAAGCTGATCTCTAAAATCCATGCGTCTCAAACTTGGAGACATATGATGGTGTTTGGGTACTTGAAACATGAAGTATCTTCCCGTAGCTTCAGTACTTAAATTTTTGAGGGGAAAAAAGATCTTTTTTGTACTCAGAAGATTTTGGTCATATATGCACAAACAGAATGAGAAACATTCTGTATTTTTTGTGAAAATCTGGAAAGCTGAGAATATTACAAGCAGTGAAGAATGAGATGTTTTGGTGCTTTTGTATGAAGGAGCCAATGACATTAATCATGTGTGCTTCTGCTGCAAGAGCAGAATTTGCTTACATCATGCTGGCCAAGACCTACTAGACTGCCAGATTGGAGCAGGTGGAGTGGATGAAATCTGGGCAAGTCCAAGGAGGTCCGCATGGTTGGTTGGTCACTCTCTGAACCAGTGTTTTTGTTTTTGGTTGATTAGGTTTTTCCCCTCACTTTTAATTACAGACACAAAAGTTGGCTTCCACAAATCAGTGAACTTCCTTTTAAAATTGCACTGGATCGGGTGTATTGTTTACAAACATGCAAATGAGTAGATCTTCTTTCTGATGTGGTTAGTTTCCATTAACACAGAAGCCATGACTTTTCTAGTTTGTCGTGTCACTATTTACTCTTCTACTTATAATAGTTTTTATGTTGTATTTTGAATTGGAATCAGAAGTTAAAAACATGAAGTTCAAAGCATCAATTTGAAACCTGGGAGAATATGCTAATAGGAGGGAAGTTCAGAACAACCTGTAATCACCAGCAGCTGTGGGTGTCCCTAGGTGCATCTGACAGCAAAGTAGATGATTGTCCTATGCTACCCACAGCCAGTGAATTGAGAAACAACAATCAAAAAAAATATATATATACAGGAATAATTAATACAGAAGTGTTATTATTATGGAAATGCAAATGTGCCTATTAGACA